AAGCCACTGACTATGGGGGAGGAAGACAGCCATCCCAAGATGTCGACAAGGCCTGTACGCTGACAAGTTGATGCTGCTCAAACCTTGCTTTTATATAATCTATTGTTATTGATTAAATGAATATAAAATTATTTTTATATTGCTACTAGAGACCCAATGCACAAAATTCTTGTGCTCAGGGAGAGAGTGAGTAAGTCCCTCAGCCCAGCCTGCACCCTCTTGCAGTTGGGGAGCCCTCAGGGGATGTCCAACTGCTGGCTTAGACCCACTTCCCACTGAAAGTGGGCATAAACTGGCAGTCAGGCATCCTTAGCACTGCTGCAGAGGCAGGAGAGGCTCCCGCCACCACAGCTGCTACTGTGCTCACCAACTGTGATCCCGGCTCAGGGCTTTTGGCTGAGCAGCGCGCCCCCTGTGGGAATGCACTGACCACCAGGGGGCCAGTTCCTGTGTTAAGCATCTGCACCTTGGAAGTCAGTGCACATCATAATAATGGTTGTTCTGCTGTCTGGTAGATTTGCATACTAGCATTTTATTATATAGGATTATCCTCCTTATGGTTTCTTAGTGAAATAATATGTCCCCTTTCCCTATTAGACATGAACTATTTAACTTGGGTACCTGCTGTGTGCTAGACCGAGCATGTCAAACTCGTGGCCCGTGGGCTACATGTGGCTCACAACCAATATTTTCGTGGCCCAGCCAATATAACAGTATGTAAGGAACGTTTTAATAAAAATTTTGTAACTTAATTTTTACAATATCCCGTTATAGGTAATTATGAATAATGAACTACAACATTCACTAATGACTGATTACTATGATTGTGTTGCATTCATTTCCCTTATGCGCCTTACACACAGGCGCACCATTTCTCTTCACTAATACTAGCAGTGAATATTTTAGCAGCTGATTGCCACATCATTAGTCTTATGATGCACACTTGTTTGGTGTGCATGCCAGAAAATATTTGGCTTTCGGAGAACAAGACAATAGGTTTATTTGCATTATGATTATTAATTTTTGCAGTTATTTGGTGACTGGTAAGTTAATGTTCAAGAAAAAATATTAATTTTTATTAAAATGTTCTATTATTTTATGTAAATGATTATACATTAATTTCAGCCCTTTGTATTCAGCATGTCTCTATCAAAATCATGTGGTAGTAAAAATAAACTAAAAATTGCTGACAAACATCGACATTTCTAAGAAAACTGGGAATTGCAGTATTTTTGCTGTGAGGTAAAAAATAAAATAATCTGCTTGACATGTAATAATACTATTAGTATACCAAAGTTATACATTGAAAATTGAAGCCTTTGTTTTTTTGCTGCCCACATAAACTTAAACCTTGTTTATTTGGCCCGTGTTAGCCTCTGAGTTTGATATGCTCACTGGTATACTAGACAATGATATTCTGATTATCAGTTATGATAATGAAGTTAACTGTTTTGTTGGCAACACTCTGTGGTCTTCTACTATCAATATAAGTTTTGGTACATTTTTTCAGGCTATCATTCTATCTAATAAATCCTAATATGCTAAGTGTCCAACTGTTTGTTTGACCATTCGACCAGTTGCTATAATGCTCACTGGTCACCAGGGGGCAGATGCTCCAAATGGTAGGTTAGCTTGCTGCTAAAGTCCAACTAATCAAGACTGGGCAAGATGAGCGGGACCAGCCCTGGAACCCTACAACAGTCCCTCACTGATCATGCACTGGTAGGGTCACTCAGCTTGACCTGTGGGGAATGGGCCAAAACCAACTCTCCCAGATTTAGAGCAGGCACAGGCCAGGCCTAGGGACTCCATTGGTGTATGAATTCGTGCACCAGGTCTCTACTATCCTATCTAATAAAAGAGTAATATGCAAATTGACCATTACTCCAACACACAAGATGACTGTCCCCATGTGGACACAAGATGGCCACCACAAGATGGCCAGCATGGGAGAGCAGTTGTGGGCAATCAGGCCAGCAGAGGAGGGCAATTGGGGGGACCCAGCTTGCAGAGAAGAGCAGTTGTGGGGGACTAGGCCTGCAGGGGAGCAGTTAGGGATGACCAGGTCTACAGGGGAGGGCAGTTAGGGACAATCAGGTTGGTAGGGGAGTGGTTAGGGGATGATCAGGATGGCATTCAGAAGCAGTTACGGCAATCAGAAAGGCAGGCAGGCGAGCAGTTTGTAGGCAGCAGTCCTGGATTGTGAGAGAGATCCCAGATTGGAGAAGGTGCAGGCTAGGCTGAGGGACACTCCCCCCATTCCCCCCGCACAAATTTCATGCACTGGGCCTCTAGTCTATTATTAAGTACTTACCTTGGACAAACCCCTCCAAGAACACCTCCTTAATAATTCCCCTGGTAGAATTACATTTAGATCTAATCTAGATCAATATTTTAGATGAATATTGTCTAAATATAGGAATGGATGAAATTAACTTCCCAGAAAAAAATTGTTATTCCTGGATAGTAATAGATACCTGTTCCTCCTCAAGTCCTTCCTTGTCTAATATTAGACATTTTTTGTTCCTAATCAGTGTTATTGGTTTAATATTGTTGCTTTTTTTAATTTTTTTTATTAAATTATTATCTGTGTACATATTTTAACATTGCTCCCCCTCCCATAGATACCCTCCCTCCACAGAGTATTGTGTCCATTGGTTGTACTTATATGCATGTATACATGTCCTTCAATTGATCTATTATCTCCCCCAGATCTCTCTACCCTACCTGCTATAATTTGACAGTCTGCTTGTTGCTTTACTGTCTCTATATCTATCTTTTTGTTCATCATTTTATAATGTTCTTTATTATCCATAAATGAGTGAGGTCATGTGGTATTTCTCTTTCATTGACTGGCTTATTTCACTCAGCATGATGTTCTCCAATTCCATCCAGGTTGCTGCAAATGATGAGACTTCCTTCTTTTTTATGGCAACATAGTATTTCATTGTGTAGATGTACCATGGTTTTTGGATCCAATTGTCTGCTGACGGGCACCTAGGCTGTTTCCAAATTCTAGCTATTGTAGATTGTGCTGCTATGAACATAGGGGTGCATATATCCTTTCTGATTGGTGTTTCTAGTTTCTTGGGATATATTCCTACGAGTGGGATTACTGGGTCAAATGAGAGTTCCATTTTCAGTTTTTTGAAGAAATTCCACACTGTTCTCCACAGTGGTTGCACCAGTCTGCATTCCCACCAGCAGTGCACAAGGGTTCCTTTTTCTCCGCAACCTTGCCAACACTTGTCGTTTGTTGATTTGTTGATGTTGGCCATTCTGACAGGTGTGAGATGGTACCGCATTGTTGTTTAGATTTGCATCTCTCGGATAATTAGTTATTTTGAACATGTTTTCATGTGCCTTTTGGCCTTCCTTCTGTCTTCTTTTGAAAATAATCTATTTAGGCCGAAACCTATTTGGCTCAGCGGTAGAGCGTCGGTCTGCGGACTGCAAGGTCCCTGGTTCGATTCCGGTCAAGGGCATGTACCTTGGTTGCGGGCACATCCCCGGTAGGGGGTGTGCAAGAGGCAGCTGGTCGATGTTTCTCTCTCATCGACGTTTCTAGCTCTCTATCTTTCTCCCTTCCTTTCTGTAAAAAATCAATAAAATATATTTTTAAAAAAAATAAAAATAAAAAAAATAATCTATTTAGGTCCACTTAATATTGTTGCTTTATGTATGTAAATTTTGTTCCTGGTATGTAAATTTTATATTAGATGCAAAAAAAAATTTATAAACAGAAGACTTGGATCATAGTAGCTCAAAAATGAAAAATGATTCAGAATACATTTTAACAAGGACACATAGGACTGACTGCCTTCCATTTACCTGCCCTTGGTTCTTTTTTTGTTGTTTGTTTGTTTGTTTTTGTTAACAATAATAATTTGACCTTAAGTGCCATCTAAGGTCTTGCCCCATCTTCAGTGGTCCATCCTCTTCACAAGACATGCTGACACTGAGAGTCCTAGGAATGAGCCTTCCTAGAACTGTGGGATTGCATTCAACAACCAAAAGGTTGGTCATCAATGCATCCTTTGGATTGATTTATGAGCAAAAGGGTGCTGTGTAGACGAAAGGGGCACATGCTAAACAGACAAGCTCAGGGAAGGCCTGCATGGTGGTCTTGCAAACTCAGGGACCCAAGGTAATCACAAAGGATATTCTGAAATTAAACTTTAACTAAAAGCAGTTATGGTGGGTAATTACATCTTAGGCCAGTATCTTCGCTGAGGAGGTCAACTTTTATCTAAACTGAGCTTATCTGTCTTTTTGCATTTATGATGATGTACCCTTAAAATGTCTGGGTAACTTGTAACTTCCCTTTTTCCGAGCTCCTTGAGACACAACCTAATGTGCCTGGGCACCAGGACAGATACCATAAATTCCTTCATTGTTATTGTTATCATGTTAATTGTTGGCAGGTGTTTGGTGGACCCGACAGTCTCCATCTAAAAAGCTGTCAGGAGATGCTGCTCATACTGGCCTGCAAAGCACTTTCAATGGCAAGGCTGATGGGGATCCCTATTCCCTAAAAGGACAACCTACCCACTTAACCCACTGGGCTTGTGCCATGTCCTGGCCATTGGTCTGTCAGCACCACACAGAGAGTCCCAGGGATCCTCAAACCCAGGGGATTGTTTATTTGTGTGACACAGAAACCCAGCTGGCACCACACTCTGTTCTCAGACTGCTGGGAAGGTTGCATTTCCTCCCAACAGGCAGGTCACAGAGGTGACTCTGGGAGTGAGTACGGGTCATCTGAATGATGACTGGTGAGGGGATCCACCTTCTGTCTTTGAGTGTCAACAGCCTGGTTTCTGCTTCCAGAGACAGAATCCCAGGACCAGGAGTCTCGGTAGGACCCAAAGTGAAGGGTGTGTGTGTGTGTGTGTGTGTGTGTGTGTGTGTCTGTGTGTGTGTGTCCTGGGAAGAGGGGACTGTGGTGGGAGGTCATGTGGCTGTGAGCTCCCTGATTTTTGAGGGACATGACTTTTAAAAAAGAATATTCATTTATTTATAATTATTGCTAACTAAACTTCTCTTTTATTTATTTATTTGTTTGTTTTTTTAATTTGGGAAAATGGGGGCCAGGCGGGAGTCCACCTCCAGGGGGAGGACTACCCATGCACTGGCCTTTTGCCATCCCTTTTAATGAGGCTGTGAGATAAAGACATCCTTAGACAGAAAATTCCAACAACAGAAAAACAACAAGAATTTACATATGATTAACAAATTAAAGTTGCTTTAACTACCACTATCTCAACTAAACAATGAGTTGATAGCTCCGACCATTCAGAGCCATTAAGGTTGGCCAGCTCTTTTTACATTTTACTTTCCAGGCAGATTCCCAGCATACCCCTTTCCTCCCCCTTCTCCTCCCCTCCACATGCCTGAGCTGTGGGCTTCATTCCCAATGTGGGGTAGGTGTGGGGCAGCTGATCAATGATTCTCCCATCATTGGTGTTTTTATCTCCCTCTCCCTCTCCCTCTCCTTTCCTCTCTGAAATCAATACAATATGTTTTGTTTTGTTTTATCTTTAAAAAAAAAAAAAAAAAGAGGAAGTAAGGGCTGTAGGAGAGACACGTGGCTCTCAGGAGAGTGGACAAGCTGGTGATGGTCTAGGTGCCAGGTGTGGCTGAGGCTTCTCTCCAGTGTCAATCAGTCCTCCTGCTGGGAAACTCTCAGGGGAGGGAATTAAGAAAATTGTGTTCTTCTTGGGAGGTTCTGCCTGGGGAGAGATAAGGGGGTTCAGAAAATGCCTATTCACTTGCATTTGGACCCCTTCACTTGCATTTTATTGAGATAAGAAACTGAAAAAGAACTTTGGATAATAAAAAGGAAGATGAGATGGGGTATAGCGCCCCAGAGCTATTGTAACATTGCAAATGGCTCACTGGAACTGGCCATGATTCTGCCTGTATTGAGACACAGGACACACAAAGGCAAAAAAGGCAGAGTCAGAAGGATGGAGAGAGAGAGAGAGAGAGAGAGAGAGAGAGAGAGAGAGAGAGAGAGAGAGAGAGAGAGACAGGCATCTCTGTTTACTCTTTCTTTTTTAAAAATATATTTTTACAGAGAGGATGGGAGAGAGATAGAGAGTTAGAAGCATTGATCAGCTACTTCCCTCACACTCTCTACTGGGAATGTGCCCGCAACTGAGATACATGCTCTTGACCGGTGTGAAAGGAAAGAGCCACACGCTAGCCTGACAAGCTCAGGAAAGGCCTGTGTGGCAGTCTTGCAAACACAGAGACCTAAAATAACCACAAAATATGGTTTGAAAATTAAATATCTAACTACAAACAGGTTATAGTGGGTAGTCATGTCCCAGATATTTCACCTGACAAAGATCAACTAAGATCTTCTTCACTGAGCCTATCTGCCTTCCTGCTTCTAGGATAACTTATCTGTGAGATGTCTGGGTAACTTGTAACTTCCTTTTTACCCCGGACCCCTTAGGGCACAACAAATGGCCTCCAGACATTCCCTCATTGTTATTGTTAACAAGTTAGTTGTCAACTGTTAATTACATTAGAGTATCCTGATTCCATCTCTGTAAAAGAAGCTCATGTCCATAATTTCACCTTTTACCCTATCCCAGCGGTTTCCCCACTTTGCTCTGTCCCACTTCCCTAATCTATCACCAATGAATTTCATGTACCATATTTTTTGGACCATAAGACACACTTTTTTTCCCCCAGAAGTGGGGGGGAAAAGTCCCTGCGTCTTATGGTCCAAATATAGCCTACACATATACTTTAAAAAAAAACGTTTTTTTACTTGCCCGGCTCTGTGTGGTCTCTGTGTGCTTGCCCAGCTCTAAAATGGTTCTAAATTCTGCTGTTTACTTTACAGGGTTGATTACATGTGTTTATGACTGTGATGTTGGGTTTTAATGCACATAAAATATTTTAGGACACTATTTGTTTCAGAATCTTTTTTTCTTCATTTCCCTTCTCTAAAAACTGGTGTGTCTTATGGTCCGGAGCGTCTTATGGTCCGAAAAATACGGTAACTCACCTAGGTCCCTTTCCTTTGATTGCAATGTATTCTTACAACCAGACTTCCTGATCCCCAAGGACTACCAGGGATCCACGTCTGATGCAATAAACAAAGGAGCCTCTTCCATGCTAGCATGGGCTCTGTCCCATCACACCATCAGCATGACAGAAGAGAGACCGAATTTCACCAAGCCCCGGGGTTTTACAATGGTGGTGATGTCACTGCTTTGGCTGACCCTGATTGGTTGGGTGAGGGCTAGGGTCCAGTTACACAAAATGGAGAATAACTCTGCCCTGCCCCACAGTAGAGTCCAGAGTTTATCCTCACCCTGCCCTGCCCTTTCATTCCCCCCTTGTCTTATGTGCATGAGTCAAATCATTGACTCAACCTACTTTCTTTCAGCATAAACAACAAATACAGTTACCAAGTCCCTTAGTACCACAGTTCCCATCAGTCTTGTCCTCACTGAAGTCCAGCTCCCCTCCTGCAGGCATCAAGTCTCCTCCTGGCCTGTGTGGACCCCAGGCTGGGATCTCATAGGTGAGGCTGCTAGTTGCCAGGTTCCAGGACATGCAGGAACTGGGAGTCATGTAGTCAGGTCTGGGTGCCATTTCAACAGCCGTGGGCATGCTCAGGATAATGGTGTAGCATCACTTTGAGTCCTTGGGCAGTGAATTTCTTTACCCACACTGAGTTCTTGGGCTACAGGGTCTGTGGTGGGCACTGCAGTGCATCTGGAACAAGCAAACTGCAGAGCCTGTAAGGACTTGAGCAAGGGAATTATTATCATACATGATATCCCCCCCCCAAAAAAAAAGGGAACTCGTCCCAGTGAAGGGTACACCTGGTTTTTAAGAGGGCAAAGGGTTGGTTCAGTTTTCACTGATTCTAGGTCACATTTAGTTAAACCCCTTTTCTGAGTCCTGCTTATGCCTGTCCTAATGCTACAGCTATACTTTGAGATACCTTGGCTACAAAGGTGGGGCTGTTATCTGATACTGGCAGCCTGAATCTAGGTATAATCTCCTGGAATAACCTCTTGAGGCAGTTTCTGTCCTAGTGGGGTATACTTCAACCTAATCTGAAGTGTCTACAAAAATTAGGCCTTATTGATGGTGGTTTAATCTCTGAAATCCACCTACCAATGCTCTCCTGGGAAGTTCCGTGGGACCCGAATTCTCAGGGGGACCCCCTTACCTTGCTTAGCATTTACCTGTGCTCAGACAATACTTCTAGCAACTCTGCCTCACAGAAGCTCAGAAGTCTTGGTGACACTTAAGTGGGTAACCTGGTGTCACTGGGTAACTCTGACCTAGAGCCTCTGGGACCAAAAGCCTTGTCATCTAGAGGGTCCTCCAATCATATGGTCCTTCAGTTGCTTGCTTCTGTTCAGCCAATTCCTTCCGGCTGCAGTTGGTAACTCTCTTTTCTTTGTGGATGGCACAGTGTCTCCATAAAACGGCCTGGGTTAAGGCCAAAAGTTCAGGAACTGTTCCCAAATGGTGTGGTCCAGGGTGACTACCACTGTCCCTGCATATCAGGTCCCATCCTGAACATAACTGCTCCCATCTGTGAACAGTACCTTGTCATCTGTTACCTCTGTGCAGTCATGAATGGGTTCCTCCATCAACAGCTGGAAGCAGGCTGGCAGGGTTGATGGCCAGAGTCTTATGAATCCGGACACAGGGCTGGTCCAGGAGAAAAGCTTGGCCCATCAGGGTTAACTCCTGGCCCAGAGTCTGCTTATCTGCCTCCTTCACCAGCAATGCTGTGGTGGCCACTGCCTGGAGGAATGCTGACCACCCTGCTGCCACGGGTTCTAGTCTCTTAGACAGATAGGCAACACGTCTCTTCCAGGGACCTAGAGTCTGAGTGAAAACCCCTTTGGCAATGTCCCTTACCTCACTCACGTAGAGGTGGAAGGGCTTCATGACATCTGGCAAGGCTAGGGCAGGTGCTGAGACGAGAGCCTTCTTTAGCTCCTCAAAGGCCCATTGTCCAGTTCAGCAGCTGCGTTCCCTCAGTAAATGTTCCTTCTGAGGTCCACAGTCCTTCTTCGATGTCCAAGGAGGCTCCCTGCTTTCTACTATAAGCATACTAATGCCTTTCCATTAGTTGCTGGCCTCTTATAATTTCAAATTAACTTCCAAAGCTTCTTTCTATATCCTTCTAAAATACATAACCATGCCTCAAATTTTATAGAAAAGGCAAGGGAGAAGGGAGCAGGTCCAGTACTCTGTTCCCAGGCTTCCAGCTGCTTAAAATTTAAAATGCCACATTTTCCCTACAGATAAAGATTTATCTGCATCTCTAAGCCCCTCTCCACTCCCCAACCCCACCCCCCACCCCCCAGAACATAGGTGAAAATTGTCCAAGCAGTTGTGGGGGGCTAAATCATACAAATAATTATTTTCACATTGTTTTAGCACAATTCTAAATAAATTATAAACCTTTGTGATGAAGTCTACTTAAATCTATAAAGTAGACACACATGACTGAAACTAAAAATGACTCCCAAAGTTTACAAAATACAAGTTGCAGGCACAAGCCCAAATTCAAGCTTACAATGTGATTACAAATGACAACAACAATGACATAAACAAAACAGATCAAATATAAAAGTTTAACATGTTGCATTAAAACATCACTTTGTTGTGGGCGACCTGCAAATGACGACCACCAGTCAGCCAAATTGAAATTTAGGAAGCCTTTATTACTAACTTAAGTCCGGGCTCACGTCTCAACTGACACAGCAGCGAGCAATGAGAGCCCCAACCCACTGTAAGCATGCTACTTTGATCCCCGTCTTAGGGATGTCTGGCAGATTATGATTGGCTAAAAGTTTTAACGAAGAAAGGTCAGTTATAAGCTATAGAAAATTCCACTAGTACAGTAACATGTAAAGTTTATTATACAACACCTGGGGTGGGGATTTATTTTCAGCTTAAGCAGTCTCTGTTTGACCTGGTTTGGTCTGTTTGTTCTGCCATGCAGCTACTGGAAACAGAACGTTCCTGCCTGGAGGTTGAACCTTGCAACAGAACTATTTTATGACTAAAAGTTATGCTTGGCTAAAGCGTATCATGATACATTCTTTGTTGTGGGTCTGGTTGCTATTCTTTCCCTGGCCTGGAGCCCTGCCTTGACAGGGTCTTGCTGGCCACAACAACTTCAGAGAAACTGACTTCAAAAAAATACTGCATCACTGACTTAAAAATAATTTAAGTGTAAACATCAAATAGATTCCTCATCTGACAAATGAGAACAAATCAATCCTTGAGATCTTTGATCATTACTGCTTATTTTTAACGCATGTAATATAGTTCAGCCTGCCATCAATTCTATGAGGCAAATTTAAACTTTAATTTTCTATGTCTCTTTCTTCTCTTACATCCTGCTTACTTAGGGAGAAGTTTCAGCAACAGGTCTGGCCATTTTCTGCAGATCACTGGGGGAGGGATTGGACAAAGGGAAAGATGGGTGTAGCCATTCAAATGCAAATGAACACATTCTTTAGCTGAAGACTCCCAGCCATTCATATGTAAACTTGTTACCACTACCTGCCTCAGGACAAGAAATTTCAAAAGCTGCTTACAATGCCTTGGGAAACCAGTTTTTATTTATCTCCCAGTTAATCTCCACCATTTTTAAAGCTCATTCTGTACACAGAAAAGATGTTAAGCACAGCCCAAAATTATGTGCACTCCTTTTGAAACGCCTTTTCGCTTTACTGAGCACAGAAAATCGAGATGCATAAAAACTTTCTTGGGGAGTGATTTTCACATTGAATCGCCAAGTGTCTCTCCTCCCCCACCTCCTGCCTGCTCTGGAGGGAGAGAGTAGCAAATTTACAAACAAGAGCCAAGTGAAATCTTTAGTTATACAAACATACAAACAAAGAACACAGAAACAGACAGAAGGCTCCCGGGAACAGTCTTCCAACTGTGGAATCAAAACCAAACTACGGCCTCACGCCAACTGGTGTCCCTACAACATTGAAAACTGGCCACCCACTAGAACAAGTCTGCCATTGGCCATTCTGAACCTCTACAACACAGAAAATCACAACAACCAACAAGAGGATGCCCAACATCAACATTTCAACTTAAAACCACACTTGGGAGAGGTCCACTTCTTTCCTGCCTTTACAAGAGCACAGAAATTCGCCCATGAGGCCTCTTCTCCCAGACCTGATGCCGCCAAGCCGGCCCAGGCCCCCAAGCCAGGCTGCTGCCACTGCTCTACCTCAGCTGTGCTGCTCAGACAGCCCCGAGGAGGCAGGGAGGGAGCACAAGGAGGGAGTGCAGGTCGCCCCACTGACTTCCCAACTCTGCTTCCCCTTCTCCAGGCAGCCAGCAAAATTAACCCAGGTTGTATTTATATGCATGCATACAAGTCCTTAGGTTGATCTATTATCTCCCCGAGATCTCCCTACCCTCCCCGCTGTAATTCGACAGTCTGCTTGTTGTTTTATTGTCTCTATATCTATTGTGAAAGAAAAGAGCCACAAGCTAACCTGACAAGCTCAGGGAAGGCCTTCGTGGCAGTCTTGCAAACCCAGAGACCTAAGGTAACCACAAAAGATTTTGTGGTTTGAAAATTAAATATCTAACAGGTTATAGTAGGTACTCATGTCCCAGATATTTTCCCAGACAAAGATCAACTTTGATCTTTTTACTGAGCCCATTTGCCTTTTTGCCTCTAAGATAACATATCTGTGAGATATCTGGGTAACTTGTAACTTCCCTTTTTCCGGAGCCCCTGGGGAATAACCAAATGTGGTGGGCGCCAGGACAGATGCCTCAAATTCCTTCTTTATCATGTTAATTGTTCCTGCACTCACCTGAGTATACATCCATCATTTAACTTTTTATCCAATCCCAGGAGTTTCCCACCGCTTTGCTTTCTCCCACCTCCTTACTCCATCACCAATGAATTTCATGTAACTCACCTATGTCCCTCCTTTGATTTCAGTGTATAAATAGAGAAATGTAACCCGCCATTCTTCGGAGCATTATCTCAATCCATTGAGGTTTTGCTTCCCGGCAATTGTCGACAATTTTGGCTCAAATAAACTCATTAAAAAAATTCTTTACAGGTTTCAATGGTTTTTTTCGTTAACACTATCTTTGGACATAAAGGCAATAGGCCTTTTGGGCATGGTGGTAGATGGTACAGCAGGAGAGGGAGAACACATTGCTGGGCCTCACCACAGAGGTGTTGATTCAGCAGGGTGGAACCCGGGAATGTGCATTTCTAACAAGTTTCTAATTGTTGATTGTTGCTGGTCTGAGGACCACACTTGGGGAACTACTGGTCAATAAACTCAGAAACAGCTAAATGATAATAAATTAATTAATTAATTAATTAATTAAATTAACCCAGGTGCCTCCCCCCCCCCCCCCCCCCAGTGATGCTGCTGGCTCAGCCATGCTCTGACGTGCAGACTAAGCACTGTGGAACCCCCCCCCCCCAACACAACACTGCCAGGGGGCCCAGCACCACCATGCCAGCCCCACTTCAGCGGCTCCATCCTGGGGAGCCATACCTCCCGCCCATACCAAAATCAGACCTAGGAAAGGCTCCAGTCACTTTCCTGCATGTGAGGCATCAGCTCACACAGCTCGCCTCGTCGTGGGAGAGGTTTCCATCCCTCTCCCGCATGTTATGGGCCCTCTAGGAGAGGATTCCACGTCTCTTCTGCCTGTGAGGGGCCCTCTCGTGAGGTCAGAATGTCTTCCGAATCCTCCGGCCCGTGGCCTTCCAGCAATGAGTCCATTTAGACCTCTTCGGGCACTACGGACACGAGGGGGTTCCACGTCCCTCCAGAGCACTCACACAAGGACACAGACACACACACTTACCGCGGCCAGTCAGGCTCTCTGGATCGGAGACCCTCATGGTCTTGGGGATCCCGGACGAAACCCCCCTATGTTAAGCCCAGACTTCGTGATCCCCACGGACCACCAGGGAGCCACGTCCGATACAATAAACAAAAGAGCCTCTTCCATGCTACATGGGCTCTGTCCCACTCACGCCAACAGCATGGCGGAAGAGAGCCTAAACTTCTCTTTTAAACAGGAACATAAAAACACAGTAGGGCTCTGCACAAATGGAATTTCTAAACAGTTGGTTTGTATACACATCAAAATAAGTTAGAATGGAATTCATCCAGGACTTTCCAAGTCCCCTAAGAGGCCTCACACCTCTTTTGCAAAGGTTGGGGGTGAGGGGTGAGGAAAAGTCCAAGGCACCGGGAAAGGGCCTTCAAGTATCAACTCACAGAGGGTCAGCTGATGGTGGGACTGCGGGAGGGAAGGAGAGCCCCACCCTGGGGCCCCGAACCTTCTCCCTTGGTTTTCCAAGACCAAGGCCACTGTGCTGACAGGAGGGAAAGGAAGAGGAGGAGGAGGAGGAGGAGGAGGAGGAGGAGGAGGAGGAGGAGGAGGAGGAGAAGGAGGGAAGAAGAATAGGGAGGGAGAGGGGAAGGGGGAGCTGGAGGTGAAGGGGAGGGAGAGAGTGTGGTGGGGGAAGAGGACAGGGGCAGGGGGAGGTTCAGGGTTCCTTTTGGTACCAGGGGAGAAAGACATCATGGGAAGAGGTAGTTGTCAGGGCTGATGCTCTGAGCAGGAGAAAATGTCTTCTACAGTGACAAGGTCACTTTCCACCTGAGGGTCATTATGGCGGACACTGGGCCCTGCGGGGCCTGGGGTCTAGAGAGCACACTTGGGGTGAGGCTCCGTAGGCCCCAGCCCTCTCATCTGTTGCTTAATGGGAGCTGTAGCAGAGAAGGAGGGGCCCCTGGCTGCCTAATCCCAGGCCACCAGGTCCTTCCCTCAAACCTGATCACAGCCACCCTGAGGCTGGGCTTGGTTGGCCCTTCACTAAGGTACAGCCTTGGAGGGGTTACATTGCAAAGTGGTCCCCCACCCCCAGCTGTCCCCCCACCTGGTTCCTGAGCTGAAATTGGTGGTTTCACCTCCTTCTGTGCCTTTGGGGACAGCCCTGCCCCACCCTCCCCACGGATGCCTCAGGAGGCCAGTGGGCAGGAGTCTGGGCGCCCTGGGTCCTGAATGTGCTATTTCCCTCCCTGTTCCTGCAGCCTCCAGTTCCAGGGGCTGGAGCCACCTTGGGACAGGCCAGGAGAGCTGCTGAGGGAGGTCTGGCCTTTGGTGGGTGATGCAGAGCGAGTCACGGGCCAGAGGCTGGGAGCAGGTGGAGGGCCTGCCCCACTGCCTCCTCCTGCTTCCCACCAGCCTCCTGAGCCTCCCTGCCAGCAGCTGGGCCCCCAGGAGCAGAGCACTGCGCCCTGAGTTTCCCTGGCCAGGAGGCTCTAGGTTGGGGAGCACAAAGCACACAAGAAAGCTTCCCTTGGGAAAAGAAAATGGTCTCTATCAGAAAAGGTTATGGGCGACACAGAGTTGAAAAGAAAAAATATAAAATAAATTATCTCCCAAATACCCCCATTTCTGTGTGTGTGTGTGTGTGTGTGTGTGTGTGTGTGTGTGTGTGTGTGTTTGTATTTTTTCCAATCTGGTCCTCATTTTCCTTTTTAAATGTTGCTCTTCCCCTGACCCTGCAGGCTCTGGGCTGTCCCCGTCCTCAAAATGGATTCTTGTTACACCTTAAAGAAGACAAATGCTCCAGCCCCACTCCTGACGGTCCCTGTGGGTCCCCAGTGACCTCTTCACAGTGCCTCCCTCGCCCTCTCACCCACTCAAGGGGCTTCTTCCTGTCCTAGTTAGTGTGGCCTGACCAAGGCATGTCTGGGCTCAGCTCACGGCGGGGACTCTGAGCTGGGACATACCAGGTTGTGGAGCTCCAGCTAAGACAGAATTGGGTGACATCTGCCAAAAACCTCGTTAGGGCGGTAGGACCAGGGTTCTGGGGAAGGCATGTACAGGCCAGGTTGGGGCGCACATGCACCTTGCTCCAGGGTAGCTCCGGAGGCACTGGGAGGTAGATGGCCAAGGCCCTTCCTGCTCTGGGCCTGGGCTGTTCCAGCCGGGGACTCGTGGATGGGGTTGGGCAGTGCTGAGCATCTGGGAGCTCCAACATCTCTAGAGCAGGCAGGGGAGAAACAAGGCCTGCCGGGAGTGATCCTTTCTCAGTGACAGGGCCCCTGAGGGGCCATCACGTGGCCCTGCCCACACTGACTGCCTCAGTGCTGTGGGCCTGCAGACACCTGAGAAACTGTGCCCTTGTGACCTGTCCCTTTTCCCACTCTCCCACAGCAGCAGGCCCAGGTCCCTGTTACCCTTTCTTCTCCAAAAGGCCCGGGGCCTGGACCCAGTTCAAAGCTCAGGCCAGTGGTACAGTCCATTTGGTCACAAGCCCCTAGTGGTGCAAATCAGGGAAATGCTCCACACAGTGGGGTCCTAGCTCATTTCCCAGCTGCAGGAGCACAGACCGCGGGTCTCCACCCCCACACCCAAGCCCTCTCACCCGGTTCTGGGCAGCCAAGCTTTGCTATAGCATATGGTGGTAGGCAATCTCCTTCATGGCCTGCCAGGCGAGGACGCTGGCCTTGGAGCTGCCGTCCACGCCAGCGTATGCATATGTATTCTCCAAGACGCCCTCCATCTCCTGCTGGCTACCAAGCTCCCAGGGGTCGGTGCCCATCAGCTCTGTCATGGGGTCATGGATGTCTAAGCCAATGTCCATGATTCTGTGCTTGACCTTCATATGCCGGTTCAGACTGCCCTTGAGGTAAAACTTGCTGGAGCAGTAAGGACACTGAAAAGGCTTGCTGCCCACGTTTAGGTGCATGTGGCCCTTGAGGGCCATGATTTTAGGGAACCTTTACCTCTCTGTGTCTGTTGGTTGAGCCTATTTATTTGCTCCCTTACCCTTGGGGCAGTCTCTGTCCTCTGCCTGGGGGACTTGCTTGTGGTCACCCTGCCTTCCTCATAGTGGTACAAGGCAGGTGCTAGAAGAAGCCTGCAGGACAAAGTGGACACATGGGAGGGGGGGCGGGCCCAGAATGGTCTGTGATATGGACATCAGGCTCCTTTCCCATCTCCTTCACCAAAGCCAGGTTCCTATGTTAATTTCCTGTGTTTTTGGTGTGTTCCAATGTCACACCCTGGAGGGTATAAGGTGGCCTGCAGCTGCATCAGGGATGCTGACCAGGCTCCAGAGAGTGGGTGCTGACCCTGAGCTCTGGGCAGAGATGGGCTCTGACCTCCAGAGTGAGTGGCCAATCACTGTGTGTCCCAGGCTGCCCCGCTTCATCCAGAACAAGGTGAGCACAGGGACAGGGTGGCGGTTGTCCAGAGGACTCCGGTTCCAGTTCTGATACTCCAGGAGGAGCTTGCTGTCCCTGAGGTTTCAAGGAAGGGCCTGGTGAGGGCTCCTATGGGGCTTCCAGGAGAGGGTGCTGGCCGGGGGCTCTGATGCCCAGGATACACCGTGTATCCCCATCACAGCATTGGGGCACTGCATCCAAGTCATCTGTGTTCCTCACTGCCATCTGCTCTAGACCTTCCCACTAGGTCCGGGACCTGGAGCAGCTCCACCCAGACACTCAGCAGGGGACCCTGAGAGGAGGCCCACTGGGACCCTCAGCCCCTCTGAGGTGGAAGCCCCTCAGATCCTGGGTTCTCCAGACCTTTCCTGCTCAGGAAGTTCCCCAGGACATCATGGGCTGGTGAGATGTTTTCAGAGACACAGCCAGGTGACACCACAGATCAGGGCCTTTGGGCACAGGGATTTGCCCCCTGACTTCTTTTGAGGTAAAGGTGGGCTCCTTCCTCCTGTGGTAGTAACTCCACCTGGGTCCAGAGTCCAGAATTTGTGCCAGGTCAGGTGTCACTGAGAAGAGGAAGGACACAGGCTGCCACCAAGACCCACCTGGAGAGACGAGCTGTCACTCACCAGGAAAAGGTGGGGAGGGCTGTGATTTTGGAGGAATGAATGGGGGTCTGACCCCTCACTGTCAGGAGAGCCCTGCCCTCACTTTTTCAGACAAACAAGGGCCCTTGCTGGCCCCTCCCATGCTGACATCATGCCCTGGTCTCCAGGAACATGCTCTGAACACAGATGTCTCAGGTGGTAGGATAAGAGGGCAGGTGCCAGGCTTTAATTGTGTGGTTTCCATCATTTATGTCTGTGAAGCCATGTGAGGGTGCAGACAGGCACAGCTGGGTATCAGTCTGTCTGGTATCAACCTGGGCACAAGGACTGGACCCTCCCATCTGACATCAGGGGTTATCTTACATGCCAATGCCCTGGCTCTGCCTCCTGCTCTCACTGCAGCTTCCCTCCTCCTTAGATTCCTGATTCCCTCCTTGCTCAGCATGGCCTCTGTGGCACAAGGTCCAGGCACTCAAAGTGACAAGTGACCAGACCATACTCCTCAGTCACCCTCCAGATTCAGAGGCAGGTGCAGGTGCTGGGATCAGGGCTGCCTCATTGAAAGGACCTCCAGATCTGAGTAACCACCATCGGTGGGGACTGTCAGGTCCTATCATGGTGGGTGCCTTCATACAGATATTTGGTTTCCAGAGCTTCCCACTGGATTGGCCCGGAGGCCTTGATTGAACAATAAAGAGGGGCTGGACCTTTTCTGCCTTGGGCCAGACCCACCAATCAATGGCGGTGGATGCAGGGACATCAGGGCTCAGGGACAGCATGCAGGCCACACACCTCTATCTTGAGAGCCAGGGGAGCTTAGGAATTAGCTCATCCTTCTGCTGGTGAGAGGAGTTGGGATCTGGGTGAGAATCCCCTAGCCTCCTCTAGTTTTGCTTTTCAGATTTAAAGGGATAAAGGATAATGATTCCTACTGACAAACAAAATAGGTGCAGAAGCATGGATACATGGACCATATCTCAGAGGGGAGATAGTGGGGGTGACTAGAAGATATTAACCAAAAAACATATACATAGCTCATGGACACAGGCAATAATCGGGCAAAGGCCTGGGGTGAGGTGGAGGCCTGGTGGAGGGGAGGAAATGGTGCAGTGGGGGATATCTGTACTATTATCAACAATAAAAATTATTTTTAAATTTGTAGCTAGCTTCTTGATAGAAGGGAATTCTTACATCATTGTAAAATGAAAATAATGCACTGGAATATTCTTTAGAAGAAAGCAAATAACCATTTTCAATTTATCAGTAATTGTGATGCAGGTTTTACAATACTTTTCTAGTTCATCACTGATAACACCTTTGTAGTTTAGCTCATGGGAAATGGTGAAAGCCTGCCACAATCCATGTTTTAGTTCAAGAATGTGGAC